GACGAAAAAGGTAAAGATGTTGACATCAAGCGCTACCGAGGTATGATCGGCTCTTTACTTTATCTTACCGCGAGTAGACCGGATATCATGTACTCCGTTTGTATATGCGCTAGGTATCAATCATGTCCTAAAGAGTCGCACTTGGTTGCGATCAAAAGGATAATGCGATATCTCGCGGGCACGTTGAATGTAGGTCTTTAGTATCCCAAAGGTTCAACATGTCATCTTGTTGGCTATTCCGACTCGGATTTTGCAGGTTGCAAACTCGATAGGAAAAGTACCAGCGGTACTTGCCACTTATTCGGTCATTCGCTAATCTCGTGGTTTAGTAAGAAGCAGGTTAGTGTTGCACTTTCCACCACCGAAGCGGAATATGTCGCTGCAGGAAGTTGTTGTGCCCAAATTCTTTGGCTAAAACAACAACTAGTGGATTTCGGCCTTATACTTGATCACATCCCTATTAGGTGTGACAATATGAGCGCTATTAGTCTAACGAAGAACCCCGTTCTTCACTAGAGGACTAAGCACATAGAAATTAGGCATCACTTCATACGAGATCACGTCCAAAAGGGAGATGTCACAATTGAGTTTGTTGAAATGAAACATCAATTGGCAGACATTTTCACGAAACCCTTTAGTAGGGAGAGTTTCTTCCACATTCGGAACGAACTTGGAATTTTGGATATCTCTATGAACTAATCCATTCTTTTTATTGACTATGCTAATTTGAGCGTCACAGGCGCGATAAATGTTTTTTCAGGTATCTCTTCCCTTGGTATTTAACCGAATTGGACTTGATGATTTTTTTGTCAAACAAGCTTTAATCGATTACTCCTCGAAGAGAAATCGATTAGTCGCCTCTGTCCCTCTTAATCGATTACTAGATTCCTTTTAATCGATTAAATTCCGAAAATGTCTATAGCGCTGATTCACTTTTAAATCGATTAATTTTGTTCAATTAATCGATTAGACTCATATGTCCATCTTAATCGATTAACCATCTCTGTTTAATCGATTAATAGCTTGAAAAGAGACGTTTGGTTCTGCTTACTTCTAATCGATTAATAAGCTTAACTTAATCGATTAGCCTCGGCTGTGTTCCCTAATCGATTAAATACTTGTGTTTAATCGATTAATAGTCGATTTTTGCGTTATATCTCACCCAGTCTTCGTCTTCTTCGCCATTCCCTTTTTCGAATCAGAGAAACCCTAGCTTCTTCCCTTCTCAAATTTTCTCAATCTTCAGTCTAACGAAGAACTGTGTTCTTCACTCGAGGACCAAGCACATAGAAATTAGGCATCACTTCATACGAGATCAGGTCCAAAAGGGAGATGTCACAATTGAGTTTGTTGAAACGAAACATCAATTGGCAGACATTTTCACGAAACCCCTTAGTAGGGAGAGTTTCTTCCACATTCGGAACGAACTTGGAATTTTGGATATCTCTATGAACTAATCCATTCTTTTTATTGACTATACTAATTTGAGCGTCGGAGGCGCGATAAATTCTTTTTGCAGGGCTTTTATTGTAGGTATCTCTTCCCTTGGTATTCAACCGAATTGGACTTGATGCTTTTTCTTCTGCCAAACCAAGCTGTAATCGATTACTCCTCAAAGAGAAATCGATTAGTCGCCTCTGTCCCTCTTAATCGATTACTCGTTTCTTTTTAATCGATTAATATCCGAAAACATTTTAGCGCTGATTCACCGAAATCGATTAATTTTTTTTAATTAATCGATTAGACTCAACTGTCCATCTTAATCGATTAACCATCTCTGTTTAATCGATTAATAGCTTGAAAAGAGACGTTTTGGTTCTGCTTCTTCTAATCGATTAATATGCTTCATTTAATCGATTTTGCCTCGGCTGTGTTCCTTAATCGATTAAATACTTTATTTTAATCGATTAATATTCGATTTTTCGCCCTATATCCAGCCCAGGCTTCGTCTTCTTCGCCATTCTCTGTTAAGAAATCAGAAACCCTAACACCTTCTCCTCTTCAATCTCTCTCAATTTTCTTCCATCTTCTCACCAATCTTCTCACCTAATTTCATCAATTTCAAAGAGGAACGATGCCAAGGTGCAAGAACGCTTCCTTGGGTCAAGAAACCGCAGCAGAGGAGACTGAGAGGCCATGGCGTCGTGAAGGGAGCAAGTATATTCACATTCAAACGGGTCTCGCCTTCAATACTGGAGCTTCAGTTGAGAGGTTCCACAACATCTTCCTCACGAAGGACCTCTTCAAATCAGCGACCTATGCCCCGAGTAAGTCTATGTTTCTTTAGCAAGGTTTGCTTCGTTTCATTCATTTGACGTATGAATTTTTCTGTCCAAATCTTATACGTCAATTTTATGCAAATCTTCGTACCACTAAGGGAGGTTCGCCATCTCTCATTTCCTATGTTGACGGCAAAACCGTTTTCATTGACGGTGCCGGTCTGACTTCTTTGTTTGGCCTTCGTCGCGGTGAAATTACCGAAAACTTAGATGAAACATTCCAAGATGAGGCAATTTGGCGACAACTCGGGTTAGATCATCGTGACCTCAAGTTTAGAAACTCTAGCAACCCGAGTATCATTAATCTCACTTTAATTCAACGCGTCCAACAATACATCTTCTCATATGTTTTGTTGCCCCGTGATTCGAACCATGGCGTTGTCAACAAGGACGATATTCGTTTGTTTCACGTCCTGTTGAACGATGTCAAATTTGATTGGGTTCACTTCTTTATCGTTGCACTTAGCGATGGCACTCGTTTTTCCCATCTTCGTTTTGCCATCCCCATTATGCATATCCTTGCTCATTGCAAAATAGACTTTACTCGGGCTCAGGTGCCGGTCAAGAAGACGTGTTTCATCAATGAAGCCAAGTTTTCCCGGATCGTGTATCGAGAGGAGGGGGATGTTGCACCAAATCTAGACCTGATAGTCGCCGAAGAAGAAGAAGAAAGCCAAAACGAGAATCAAGCTGAGTCATCTCAAGCCGGAGGAAGTCGAGCCACGGAGCGCGTCACTCGTCAACGGAGGACTCGTCCGAGAGAAGAAGCACCGGAACCTTCTTGGGTGAAGAAGATCTTCGATACTCTCACGTGCATCCGAGATGACGTTTGCCAGCTCAACGAGAGGATGACTCGTCTTGAGCAATCTCGCTCCTACCGTGGCCCGCGTCACAGCTTTGGCGGAGGAGCTCGTCCGGCGAACTCTCTTTGATTGTTATTTTCTCTTGACTAATTATGATACATTGCTATTTGTTTTGACTCTTTTGGTGGATGATGATGTTTCCTTTCGATGTTGCTAGTTGATATTAACTGCTTGTGTATTAATATCTTTGTAGGCTTGGCAATATTGTTCTTATTTAGAACATATTGTCCCTTTGTGGCATTTTTTGTAAGAGTTCTCTTTTAAAGAAAACTCTTGCCTTTTTTTTCTTTCCTTCAATATCCCGACATTATTTAAGGGGGAAGGTTATTGGTTGATAATGCCAAAAGGGGGAAGGAAGGATAGTTGAGATATTTTTTTTCCGCTTATTACTCCGATGACTATTTTTACTGCACTTCTCTAACTTTGCAAGGGGAATTTTTTTTTTTCTTAAAAGGAAGTAATTTCTGAATTCTTACTTTGCTCTTTCTCAACTATGTTTGTCATTATCAAAAAGGGGGAAATTGTTGGGCATGAGTTCAAAACCCTTTTTTTTTGGAATATTTTTTGTTTTGATGAATGACAAACAGGATGATGAATTTCCAGCTGATCGAAAATTTATTTTTCGTATCGAGAAAAGCAAAGAAGGATATCAAGAAGTTTACGGCGATATAAATCGACGACCACCCCTACGCAGAGTTTTTTTGAAGTGAAGTGAAGACTCCGAAGACTTTTTTATTTTTTTTATTTTATTCTAGGAATTTTTGTAAGGATGACATTATCTTCTGCACAATCAAATTATTTTCTGAGGGATAAAAATTATTATTTTTGAGTCAGTTGAAAAATTACTTTTCCTCTGTCTAAAATATTTTTTACTGAGTCAGTTTCAAAATAAGTGTGTAAAAATTTCTTAAAAACATTTTTTTAAGATTACACATTTTTTTTGGGTAAGAAAAATATACTTTAAATATTTTTCGTATACATCGTTTGACACACAAAATAATTTTTGGACTCACCTTTTCTCCCCTATTCAAATTCATTGAATAAGGGATATTATTTCTTTGAGGAGCGTTTTGTTATTCTCGCTGTCTCAAACAACGAGTTAGAAGCCAAAGGGCTTCCAATTGCGCTTGGCTTGGGCCCTTCATGTTTGCGCATTATTTTTTACTTTAATCGATTATTTACTCTAAAATAATCGATTAGATCCAATTTCACAGCGTTGGTTTTCTCAGGCAAATCAACTTAATCGATTAAAATTATTCATTTAATCGATT